TAAGAGGACAAGCTCCGAGGTCTGGCTGCCTGGGTTCAAGTCCAGGCTCTGCCACTTATTAGCTGTATGACCTTAGACAAGTTAGTTAACTTCTCTGTGTCTTGTCTCATCTTAAAATAGGGATAATAATGATACTTCTCTCATAGGGTTGTGGTGAGATTTAAAACAATGAATGACTAATACATATTAAGCACTCAATGATCACTAGGTACTTCTATTATTTTCCCACTCAGCCTTTGAAGCTACTTTCAGATTGCTATCTCATCATAGTATATGCTTCCACAAAGTAGAGGAAGGAGGGGGAGCCCTTGCTAAACTTGGAGAATGAGTAGAAGACACAGCATTTCCCAACCTGCATCTCTACAAGTCCGTGGGCCCGCTCTGTAAGGGAGCGCACGTGTTATTGCCTGTTAGGCAAGTGTAAGAAAGTCAGTGTCAGTACAGTCATTGGTGGAAGAGGCAGGAAGTCGGCATGGCAGCCTTGACAAATGGAAGTAAATGATTTTCTTTTTCCTTGGTCTTTCTCAGGTACAGATGATGGTTCTATTGATGCCTGTAAAGGGGACTCTGGAGGCCCCTTAGTCTGTAAGGATGCCAACAATGTGACTTATGTTTGGGGTGTTGTGAGTTGGGGTGAGAACTGCGGAAATTCAGAGTTCCCAGGCGTTTACACAAAAGTGGCCAATTATTTTGACTGGATTAGTCTTCATGTAGGAAGGTCTCGTATTTCTCAGCACAATGTATAAAAAACTGTGCTCTCTTCTTTCTACTCTTTTTCTCTCAGGAGTTACATTTTAATTGAAATGATACTGCATAAGTAGTACTTCTTCAAGGAAAAAAAATAAAGGCAATTTTATTGGACATTTTTTTAAAGGTCTCTACAAAGTTTATGCCTTTTTGGAATTCTGTACAATTCTCAAATAAAAATTCTAGTCAAGCATACATATTTTATTTATTAGAAAATGTGATTGGGCTTCCCTGGTGGCGCAGTGGTTGAGAGACCGCCTGCCGATGCAGGGGACACGGGTTCGTGCCCTGGTCCGGGAAGATCCCACATGCCGCGGAGTGGCTGGGCCTGTGAGCCATGGCCACTGAGCCTGCGCGTCCGGAGCCTGTGTTCCGCAACAGGAGAGGCCACAACAGTGAGAGGCCCACGTACCGCAAAAAAAAAAAAAAAAACAAAACCACAAAACACAGCTTAGGGACTTCCCTGGTGGCACAGTGGTTAAGAATCCGCCTGCCAATGCAGGGGACACGGGTTTGAGCCCTGGCCCAGGAAGATCCCACATGCTGCGGAGCAACTAAGCCTGTGCACCACAACTACTGAGCCTGCGCTCTAAAGCCCGCAAGTCACAACTACTGAAGGCTGCGTGCCTAGAGCCCGTGCTCCGCGACAAGAGAAGCCACCGCAATGAGAAGCCCGTGCACCTCAACGAAGAGTAGACCCTGCTCACCACAGTTAGAGAAAGCCCACGTGCAGCAACTAAGACCCAACAAAGCCAAAAATAAATTAATTAATTAATTTAAAAAAAACAGAAAAAACACAGCCTAGTTGCAGCCACCCATAAGTTCCCATTCCAAGGCATTTAATCGTTCAGACAAGAATCAGCACAAAACAGCATATTTTGTATTTTCATAATTTGTTTTGATAATTTTGACCATAGTTTCTTTCCCTAGTTCCTCTTTCTATTTTTTCTTCCTGCACTACAATTGTGTTTTCTCCCCAGTACTCCATGGACACGTCTCTTGTGAAGTTCACCAATAACCTACATGTTATTAAATCCAGTGATCAATACCCTGTCCTCACCTTCTTGCACACCCACTGAAGTGATGGTTCTATCTTTCTTAGACACACTGGAATGTAGCGCTCTCCTGCTGCACTTGCCTGTTCCTTCTTAGTCTCCTTTGCTGCTGCTTAGTTACCTGACCCCCTACGGCTTAGACCCTGTTCGCTCCTCTTTACATGCTCACTTTTTAGAGGATCTTATCTAGTCCCATGGCTTAAAAGCCGTTTCTATGCTGACGACTTCCAAGTTTATTTCCAGCTCTTATCTCACTTCTGAACTACAAATTCAGTGCAAGCTTCTCAAACATGGTATGTCTGAAATTGATTTTCTAAATTTTCCCTGAAATCTGCTTCTTCTGGACTCCTCCCCATTTTAGCTGGTAAGAACTCTCTATCTTTCCAACCGTTTAAGCCAAAACCTCAGTGTTATCCTTGAGTCTTCTTTCCCTTTATACCACATTCAGTCCATCAGTAAATCCTGTTGGATCTACCATGACGTTACATCTAGAACGTGACCACTTTTCACACCTCCACTGCTTCCTCCTTGGGCCAAGCCATAATAATATCTTACCTAGTTTATAATGTCCTAACTGGCTTCCTGACTTCCTCTCCTGTCCATCCACAGTCAAAGTATATATAGACAAACTAGCCATTTGCTAGCAGGCAAGACCTGGAAGCTGTGGGTTTGCAACCAAGTGTCTGTCTCGATAATAACAGGTTTTGCTGAGTAGATGAAAGTGCTCTGTAAAGAAGCCTCAAATGCTATTTGGGAGAAAAGATGGAAGTGGGTCATCTAGGAGTTATGTGATATGGTCAGTTAGGGCTGGCTTCACCAGCAAGCATCCTGTGCCAATGCACAAGGCCCTGAACCTAGAAGGGTTCCAGACTTGCTTTTGTATCTCCCGTTATCACCTTGAAGTTCTTAATAATTTTTGAACAAGGGGCCTTGCATTTTTACTTTGTGCTGAGCCCTGCAGATCATGTAGCTGGTCCTGTGGTCAATGCCACACCCTGGTATCTGACAGCAGGAATTCAGAGGAAAAAGTAAATCTTGGAATCGTTGCAGCAGAACAAATATCTAATGATTGATTATGAAAGAATGTGAAAATAAAACTTAGAATCTTGTTTTCTGGAAAGATGGCAGTGATTTCCATGAAGAACACAGTAGAAAAGGAGATCTGTTTGAGAGAAAAAGAGAAGATCTCTATCAGCCAGAGGAAATGGAGTTTGAGAATTTAATCCCTAAGGAAAGATGCGACAACAAAGACTAAATCTGAATCCTCAGAGCTGAGGCTGTATTTAGGGTAAAGAAATTAGATGAGATCACCAAGGAGTAAATGTATACAATAAAGGTAAAAAGGAGAGATTTGGGGTGGCTATAACAGGGCTGGAACCAGGTAACATTACTATACAGTATTCTGTCTTTTTTTCTGAAGACTTATTCCCATACCAGTGAGTTTCTCTGAAAGAGCCGAGCCTGGTTTAAATGTTCCCCTGGTGCAGCTAGGTGGGACCTCAGAGGTAATCTGGTACAACATCCAAACTTCAGAGATGAGAAACCCAAAGCTCCAGAAAGCTTAAAAAAAAAGAATTCTGTTTCTTTTTCCCAACTGTTGAAATGTGCTGTCCAAAAATTAAAGAAAAAAAAAATCTTTGGCATCTGGTGATGGCAGAAAGAGACCTTGGGAAGTCCCTGGAGGTCCAGTGTTAGGACTCGGCGCTCTCACTGCCAGGGTTCGATCCCTGGTGGGGGAACTAAGATGCCGCAAGCCACCTTGATTTGACTGGATACTGTCACACGACTGCTCTGCGGGCCCCTCAACTCCTTTACTGTAAAAAGGATAATACCTCTCAAGCACATTTCTCCTCTTCCTTCCACTGTAGTTCAAGTTGATCACAGCCCAAGGGTGCCTGGCTGAGCATCTGAGGGCAGACTTAAGGCAGGCCGGTCTCCACTAACCTAGCCTGGGGTTGGGCTCATCTGGCGACCACCTTTTTTGTTTCTAATTCGCCCAAAGTTTGTATTCCTGAAAAGCGGTGTTCTGAGTGTAAGAGATCAAGTCCATGAAGTGCCTGGCACAGACTAAGCTCTAAATAGAGAGATAATTCTTATGAGCTCTGCACTGCACATGTATTATAAACTCATGAAGCTTGTAAGAAACACAAAACGGCAAACTAGAATTTATTGGTAATTCTTATAGAAAGGACACATCTTTTCTCAACACTTGCAATACGGCCCTGGATCTTACTGTGAAATTCTTGGAAACTGCCAGGATACTAAGATAACTATTTATAGCTCTGGTAGAAATTACTGCAATTGTTATTTAAGGATTCTGCGCTGCACTGGGAAAAAATACAGGGAAATGTCACTGGAGCCATCAAGTTACAAAATATCTTGAGTAGGAAAACTGTGCTTTCCTTTTTTTTTTAAAACTCCGTTGAAGTATGGAGGACGGCTTCTTCCTTACCAGGGAAGAAAACTCATGGTTTTATTGTCAAACCATTTTCTTCTTCCAAAATTTCTAAACTAGCATCTAGCTCGTCTTTGTCAGCCAGGCACCACCACAGCCTTGGGTTAACATGTTCCAATCCCGTTCCCCCAACGGCGGCCACCGCGGTTAGAGAGGACCGGGTAAGGACCCGAGGAGGTGAGATGCGCGTTCGGCCCACGTAACCCGCAGAATCACGATTTCAAGCAGCGCTCTCTACAGGGGATTACGGGTAGGGAGGGTGGGGGGTGGCTCATTTCTCTGACGTTGTCTACACCCTGAAAAGCTTGTCGCTCGGGGTGACTGGGCTGCACCCCGACAGGTCAGATGAGGTCACAAGGGTTCGCCACCTGACTGCACCCTACAACTACCCAGGGAGCTTTCAAAAAATACCGATGTCCACTGACACCGGGACGAACTAATCTGCCTGTCTGGAGTACGGGGCCCGGCATAGGTATTTCGTTAGTACCACGAACCCCAAAGGTAGTACTAACGAGGGCCAAGTGAGCCGGCCTCAGGGGCGCGCCGCGACCACCACGTGGGTGGGGAGGACGCACCGGCCGCTCTGGCCCGCCTACCCCGCGCCTCTGACGCACCACGCTTGGCGCAGGCGCACAGGAGCCGCGGCCCGCCCAGGTGGGCGCGTGTGCCGCTCCCTGATCTCTGCCGAGGCACTGTGTTCCAGCGGGAGCTCGTTGCAGGCGGTGAGGGCCCGCCTCCCAGCCAAGCAGGAGGCGTGGGCATGGAGCTGGCCGCCGTCGCCATGCCCCGGGCCCGCGCCGCTGCCTAGGGCGACCCGAGGGACGCTGCCTAGGGCGCGGCTCCGGGGACCCGTGCGGCCTATCACGGCCCGGCGCCGCGCGGATGGCCCTGCTCCTGCGGCCCGTGCTCGCCGTCCTTCTTCTCCTCCTGACCGCCGCTTTCAGGTGCCAGGAGCAGGCCCAGACCACCGACTGGAGAGCCTCCCTGAAGACCATCCGGAACGGCGTTCACAAGATAGACACGTACCTGAACGCCGCCTTGGACCTCCTGGGAGGCGAGGACGGGCTCTGCCAGTATAAGTGCAATGACGGTGAGGGGAACCCCAGGCCCTGCGAGGCCCGTGCTATCAGGGCTTTTGAGGGGGACCGAAGTCGTGGAGGTGTGAGATGCCGGCCAGACCTTGACGGTGTCCTCTGGCCCTGGGAAAACTTAACCATCGCTAGATTCGTGCCATTCTTGTGATTGAGAAACCTGCTGACGAGTTCACGCCACTATTGTTAGAATGTGAGAGATCGCCTGAGAGCGTACTCTCCGTTCTGTTTTCGTTGGCGTCTGATTTTCTTTTGTTGTCGTTGTTGAAATTGCATGAAAGTTGCCTAAGAACTTAGTGACATAGCGTCATGGGGATGGAGTGAAACAGACTGATTTTATTTAGCGCCTTTAAATTAGTCAGCTGAACACGCAAAACATACCAGGAATTTTAAAGTCATGCTTTTTTAACTTTCTCAAGAATTGGTTTAAATTTTTTTTTTCTGCAAAGCTACAGACAATAAATTGCGACCTTTGTACAGACTTTTGGTGTACTTTACTGTTGAGAAAGAGTTCTGATTAACTCTAATAGGAAATGGTTCAAGCAGTACTTAACAGGAATTTTCTTTCCTTAGATACCAGTGACGCCGCCTCCTCATTGTTGGTTGCTATTAATATTATTCTTTTGATTTACTTTTTCATATTTTTAAACTTTAATTCTGTTTGAATCTGAGAACTTGTTTGGTGGCGTTGTTGGTGATTAATAACTTAGTATTTCAGGCAGAGATCTTTCTTTTGAAGCACTTGACTTTTTTGAATGCTTAGATGTCGTAATAGTTCAGACAAAGTACTTGGGCTTCTTTTTTGAATTTCAAAATGCTAAGAAAGTAATTGGGAGATCATGTTTCCGAATAAAGTGGACAAGGTTTGGGCCTAGTTAATTTAATGCTTGGCAGCCCAAAATAATAGGGAACTAAAAGACTTTAGAGGTAAAACTGGACTATACGTAGGTGAATTGAAAAGGGACCTCTGGCATGTGAAAACGTGATGCAACATGTGGTCATAATTTCTAGTTTTCTGTTAATGGAGGTAAAGAATGAACTATATCTTGTATGCTATGAACTGCTAAATTTCATTCCTTCCTAAATGTATGCCTAAATGTTACCACCAGTGTTCAATCGGGAAGGATGTTTTTGTCCTTGTAGAGCTTGTCAGGAGGAATAAGTGAGCAATTTGAAGATTAAATGGTTGCCTTTCCTGAGGCAGATGTCATAGTTTTACTTAGTCATCCCCATTCATTAAACAAATACCTGAGTGCCTGCTGTGTGTCAGGCATTGTACCAATTGGAGATTCGGCAGTGAACAAAACTGACAGAATTTCTGTCCATGGAGCTTACCTTCTGGTGGGGAGAGACAGTAAACTAAAGAATAAGTAAAACAAGCCAAATCTGCAGTGTGTGTAGATCTGAAGTGGGCCATTGCTTCCAGAACAGTACAGCAGGGGAACCGTCAGTGGTGGTGTTGGGAGGCGTTAGTTTACTCTTTTAAGTAGGTTGGGGGAAGGCCTCACTGATGAGATAATATTTGAGAAGAAATCTGAAATGGGGAAGGTGGCACTGTGATGATCTAGGGAAAGAACAATCCAGGCAGAGGGAACAGCAAGTGTAAAGGACCAGAGCTGAAATGCCAGTCAAGGATGATTCTGAAGGTTTTGGCCTGAGCCAGAGGAAGGATGTAGTTGCCGTTTACTGAGATAGGAAAGACTTGGAAGGATCAGTCCTCATAAATTTATTATGAGTCAAGCGTTCCAGAGTTTATTTAGTTTAGTTTATGACATTTAAAATATCTCTGAAGTTAAATGGATACTATTCTTATTAAAAATATTATTTTAATCTTTCCTTTTTCTTAATCCTCTTCTCTTCCACAAGCCTCACAAAATTTACCATTTGGAGTTTAGAGCAAGGTCTCCAGCATAAAAAACACAAGTGAACTCGAGAATTTAGGAAACGGTATGCTTTAGTGAAAATCTTTTAGTACTTAGGAAGTACTGTCTGCTCATAGGACTGTGGTTCCAAGTCACCGTGTTGATAATTCCAACATAATGAAGATTGATCTTTAATTGCTGTTACTTGAGAAGTCTCCCTGGGACACTATCTCAACCTTTCCTATATTTTGGAATGTTAGTGACCAAATCAGAACCAAACAGAAACAGACAAATCTCAAAATTAAAGGAGCATGGTGATGAAGGAGTGTTTAATAGTCGCAGTAAAGAGGTCAAGGGAGCCTTAAAAAAAAGACTTAACGGAGGGAGAGGTGTCGGATTAAAGGGCACAGATTGGTTGCATTCATTTATCTTTGCTCTAGTGAAGGACCAGCATTATGGAGACTCGCTTCTTCTGGCCATCCTCCCTAGGGTGGGAACAAGGCTTTATGGAGAGTGAAATAAAGTTACGTAGGGGAGCAAATTTAATGATCACTGTTTTTTTCTTTTAACTTTTTTCTCGCTGACAGCAGAAAAAATTGAGGAAGAAAATTTTCCAATTTCCTTGAAAAATAGAAAACAAAATTGGCTTGTAAAATGTTTTTAGGATTATGAATAAGTATTTAATTCATTCAGTAATTGATATCTTAACAGGATCCCTTTGGCTGTTGTGCTCAGAATAAAAAGGGTCGAGAGAGGTGGGGGAGCAAGAATGGAGGCGGAGTGACAGGTGCAAAAATTCAGACCAAACATGGTGGTAGTTTTTTTCAGGGTGGTAGCAATAAAGGTGGTGAGAAGTGGTTGGATTTGGGGTATATTTTGAAGGAAGAGCCTAAAGCATTTGCTAATGGCTTAGAAGGAGGGTGTGAGTAAACTAAAAAAGGATTCCAAAGTTTTCAGCCTGAATAATTGTAAGGATGGAGTTGCCATTTAACTGAAAGCGGGGGTGGGGTGGGGGTGGTGAACATGGAAAAACTGGTTTTCGGTTCATTAGGAAAAATAACAGCATATTTGTATGCTTTTGAGAATGATTCAGCAGAGAGTAAAAACACTAATGAGGGAGAGAGGAAGGAGAATTATTGGAGTCATGTCCTTAGGTGAGAGGAGTGAGTTCTAGTACATAAATAGATTGGCCAAGAGCAGAGAGGATATGGGCACAGATGCCGGTTAGGTGGGTAGTGTTCAAGTTATCCTCTCATTGCCTTGGTTTTCTCAGTGAAGTAGGGATCGAGGTCATCAGCTGAGTGAGAAGGTGGGAATAGAAGTGTTGGAGATTGAGGAAAATAGGAAAGTGAATGTACTAGAAAAATAAAGTAGCATAAGGGCCTTTGGAGATTAATAATCAGGAATTTAAAGTTGCAAGTGTTTGGGAAAGCAGGTTGGAATTCTGTACGGCTTCATACAAAACACAATGATAAGATCTCTCTGTGACCCAACAGGCTTCCCCTCATGCTTCTCATCCGTTTCAATGTCTTTCAGGTGAAGGAAATTGGTCTGTTGAAGGTATTTATACCAAATTAAGAAAAATATGTAGAAAAGAGCTATCGTTGTCTCAGTCCAGGAGAATCTGTAGATTTCAGCTGCCCATACAGATGATAAAATATAAAGCATCAAGATAAGAGCAGTCACGTAGTCAGAAAGTGAAATCGATGAGTAGTGTTTCCATGTAGTTGTACGTAGTGGATTTGGTTTTTGTTTTGTTCTGTTTTGTTTGGCAGCGCCCTGTGGCATGTAGGATCTTAGCTCCTGACCAGGGATCAAACCTGTGCCCCCTGCAGTGGAAGGGCAGAGTCTTAACCACTGGACCGCCAGGGAAGTCCCTGGTTTGTTTTTAAAACTCTTATTCCTATCTCATTTTTTTTTTTCTTAGCTTTCTGTACAGAAAAGCTAAGAAATTGTAATTTGTAATTTCTGCTTACAAACTCTAGGGGACGGTGACCCCAGCACATCATGGATTTTTGGTTTGACTCTGATGTTGTTTCTTCTACTGTGGAGTTTTTGCTTGCTTTGTGTATTAGTCTGCCCAGGTTGCTATAATAAAATACCACAGACTGCGTGATGTAAACAACAGGAATTTATTTCTTACAGTTCTGAAGGCTAGAAAATCCAAGATCAAGGTTTAGCCAACACTTTTCTGTGGTGAGAGCTCTCTTCCTGGCTTGCAGACAGCTGCCTTCTTGCATGGTAGGGGCAGCAGGTGAAGGGAAAGTAAGTTCTCAGGGGCGTCTTCTTATAAGGGTACTAATCCCGTCATGAGGGCCCTACCCTCGTGACCTCGTCTAACCCTAATTACCCTCCAAAGGCCCTATCACCAAATACATTGAGAGTTAGGGCTTCAGCATATGATTTTGGCGGGGACACAGTTCGGTTCATAGCACTTAGTAAAAACTGGCACCAGTAGAAATGCTAAATATTTTTAATGATCAGTGGATTATAACACCTTTTATAACAACACTTAAAATGATATGAATGCAGTTGTAATCATGGTATCCATATCAACTGAACCATTTTTTCTTTTTTTAACTCTTTTATTTATTTTTTAATTTTTATTTTACATTGGAGTATAGTTGATTTACAATGTTGTGTCAGTTTTAGGTGTACAGCAAAGTGATTTCGTTATGCATATACATACCTCTATTCTTAGATTCTTTCCCCATATAAATTATTACAGAGTATTGAGTGGAGTTCCCTGTGCTATACAGTAGGTCCTTGTTATCTGTTTTATATATAGTAGTGTGTATGTGTTAATCCCAACCTCCTAATTTATCCCTCCCCCACCTTTCCCCTTTGGTAACCATAAGTTTGTTTTCTAAGTCTGTGAATCTGTTTCTGTTTTGTAAATAAATTTATTTGTATCATTTTGTCTGACTTTTGTCACTTAGTATGATAATCTCTAGGTCCATCTATATTGCTGCAAATGGCATTATTTCATTCTTTTTTATGGCTGAGTAATATTCCATTGTACATATGTACCACATCTTCTTTATCCACTCATCTGTCGATGGTCGTTTAGGTTGCTTCCATGTTTTGGCTATTGTAAATAGTGCTGCAATGAGCATTAGGGTGCATGTATCTTTTCA